TAAAATTCTCATGAGAGTCGAGGGGGAAACGGAGAGAGACGGTGAAGGGGAAATGCAGAGTCATACATAGTCATAAGAAACAAATACGCATCCCCTCTGCTATTACAGAAGCGGGGAACGCTTCACATTTTAGCCTTTCTAACCCCGGAGCGGCTCGGCTCGGTTCGGCGCAGGCTTTCGCCGCGCCACACCCAGTCATTAATAGAGAGCTGTCGTGCCTCGAGATGCCGCCTCGTCTCGCTCAGAAGTCTGCAGGTAGTGGAGGAGACAGGCGTGTCTGGGAGAGGTCCGCCACAGCACTTTTATCAATGCTTACTGGAGTGAAACTACGAGCACACAGAGACCGAGAGGGAGCAGTTTTAGTCAGGCGACCACAGGACACTCAATTCTCCCTGGCAGTGAAACGGTTAAACTGCACTTTTGCTTTTCTCTCTCTGTTTCTGTCTCTCTCTCTCTCCCTCCCAGCTGTCTGGTGTCTCCGGTGGAGCCCGACGCCCAGAAATGAGGTGGGGAGGGTGTTTGAAGCTCAATCAGCTTGACTTGGTTGCAGCCATGAGGCGGAGCTGCATGGGCCGCTGGACTGTTTCACTGCAGGATGACCTTGTTTCGTCCTCCACAGATACTTTCCTGTCCTTATCGCTCTTTCTGTCAGCATATTCCTCCTCCTACGTGCGTGCGTTCATTAGGTGTGCTTTGCTGAGCATGGCGAAAGCCCTTCGGATGTTTTTCCTTTCTTGAGCAGAAGCTCTTGGCATAAGCACCGTATTTAAAATTCAGCCCAGGGCCAAAAGCGGGCCGTGTTCTGATTATGGGAGAAAGGCGTAAAAGCGGTCTTCTTCTTCTTCTCCTCCTCCTCCTTCTTCTTCTTCTTCCCCTCACCTGTTTCTGGGTCAGACAGCAGACTCTCTGTGTTCTCACTGGATCATTTTATAGTGAGTCTTGACCCAGGTGGCTCTGACCTACAGCATATCTTGTCTTATCTCCCGTTATTTGTTTCATATTTCTGGTCTTGCTCGTTGGTTTTGCACGTTTCTCATCTACTGCTTTGCTTATTTTTGTTTTCTGAGTCTAATAAAGTATTATCCCTCTAAATCAGCATTTTTTTTCTCCCCACTCTGCAATATTTCTTGCAATTTTATGTGTAATTAAAAAAAAGTAGCCTGTGATCTTGACACAGTTTATAAGGTTTCTAATAGTAAAATGGAAGAGAGACGCTTCAGTTTTCAGGCTTATCGGTTTTCCAGTGAAACAGACACTCTGTCTCCTTTTGGGCCTGGGATTAAAACTTTCTTTTCTTGATAGAGTGAATTAAATTATCCTCGGCTACATTGACGCTTCAAAATGTTTCAGATTATCAAGAAATTGTTGATATCAGAAAGCCTGACTTGAAGGTGCTGATCTTTAGCTATAATTTTATTTATTAAAATAAAAAAAGCAACATAAACCGGGAGCTGGAAAGTCATTTCTCTGCAGGATTGACTGTGATTCCCTGCTGTTCTTTTTTTAAAAGTGGATTTCAATTTTCCTGGCTGCACACAGACCAGATTACTGCTGGAGTGGCCTAGTCAAACTCTGGACTTGAATCTTGTTGAGATGTTCCAGCATAACTTTGAATAGACCGCTTATGCTTGAACGCAGTTCAGCGTGACTGAATTAATTAGAAGAAAAAAAAAAACTTACACAGCAGTGTAAAAGAATCGTAACCAGTTATCAAAAGCACTTTATGCTCCAGTTATTGACGATAAGGAAATTTACCTGGTTGGTTCGGAAAGTTTCTCTTAGAAAATAAAATAAAGTATGACTGTGTGTAGTTACTGCTGCTGTTAATATTGAGATGTTTCGCTTTCTTCTCAGTAGAAAGTGGATATTCTGTGTTTAACTATGTGTCTTTCCTGGACAAATCAACTAAAATAAAAGTTGCTTCCATTAACTCAATGGCCTTTCCCATAAGGAGTAGATACTATTCTGTGTCTGTGTGTGTGCTTTATTTTTATCTGACATGTTCTTCCTGTTCTCCAAACCTTGTCAGGTGATTCTTGGCTCATCAGAAGATCTCCAGAAGCCACATCTCAATATATTTGACGCCTCACACACAGACACTGTTTACTCTAAAGTTATTGCTGTTAGAAGATTCATGTTAACTGTATTTAAAAATCCTCCTTCTGAAGCATAATATCACCAATCATCATGTTATCATAGTGTCTGTCTGTGCATTTATGTTCAAAATCACATAATTTGTAAATAAAATTAAAAATTAAAAAAATAATAATCACTGTTTCAAATTACAAATGAACCACACAGCAGATTTGAACTTGGACCTTCATCCATCCTCTTCCTTTAATCAATACCCAGTTATTGTTGCAGGTTGGTGGGGAGTGCTGGGCCCTGCCTCCAGTGGTCGTCGGGGGAAACAGCCGTGCACACACTAACACCGCAGGGCGATTTGAAGAGACCAGATAACCTCAGAGTCATGATTTTGGTTTGCGGGAGGAATCCGAAGTACCTGGAGGGAACCCGAGTCGACACAGGGAGAATATTAAAACTGCATCTCAGAGACTCCTCCCTCCTCCAACTGCTGGACTGAGTCATACTTAATTTTATAGACCACTTAGCCCAAAGTCGAAAATACGATTGTGGAGAGCAAAGAAAGCACACCGTCAGTGCCGCATTACCACAGCATTGTCAGTAAGGACAGTAACACAACCTTGTTTCAGTGTTTACATATACATGCATATACTTGGAAATGGAAGCTACAGGTGAGGAAATGTGCTGGTTATTAATATTTCTCGATTACATCTCATTGAGCATGAGCGTGTAGTGTAAATTAGGAGTGAATCATTTCCCGTTGAAAGACTGGCTAGCTTCATCCTTTTTCTGTCCTTCAAGAGTAAACCGAGACACGACAGTTCAGTCGTTTTTGCTTTAATCTTTAAACCGGCCTTAGTTTTCTCTAAACAGAGCCAACGCTGCCTTGGCTGAACAAATATTGTATTCTTCCTGAGAAAAGATCACATTAGATAAGGTGACATAACAAGCTATTGAAATGCAAAACGGAGCTTTTTTGTTTGAAACATCTTTTAGCACATTTGAAGAGTGATGACCTTTTTTATGAAAACCAGCCTGAACTCCATTCATGCCAACATGTGGGAGTGCAGCATCTCCTATAAATATGATTGCCACTGATTATAGCACTTCAAAAGTGCTCTCATTCATAATATGCTGAACACGCGGCGAGCTGCTAACCTCACATCCTGTGCAGCAGGAAATGCATGATTTCCTCTAGTGAAGTGTAGGTGGGGGGTTGTTGTGTATTTTTAAGCCTGAACTGTATTTTTTTTTCTTTTTTTTTTTTTACACACACTGGAAGTGAGTGATTGTATTTTGGCATTGACATCTAATATGAAGATAACTGCCTTTCCCAGAAACAGACCTGAATAAAAATGAAGTCCATTAACAGCATCCTGTGTGTGTGTGTGTGTGTGTGTGTGTGTGTTCTCGTCTTGGAAGTGTTAAAATGGTGCGGCTGCATTGTGGACGACTAGAAGGATGCGGTTAGGTGTGAAGCTGTCTTATCAGCAGCGGTACGTAACGTATAGCTCACATACTGAAATCCTTTAAGTTTGACGTCAGTCTGCTTTCCATCTGTCTGATAGATGAAATAACTTAGAAGTAATTAGCAACGCCGTGCGATGGTGCTGAAAACTAATTCAAAACATGTCACACCTCCGTCTCAGACTGATGTTGCAGTCACAGAGTATAGCATTAGTTACATAACTTTCTCTCATGTTATGACTTATTCAGGAGGAATTTTTTTTATTTATTCTTTTTATTTTTTATTTTTTTGGTTTGGAGCTTTGATAACAAACATGTATGCACAATTGCCACCTCTGATCCCCCAAATAACCCATACAGTTGTCAGGGAAACAGTCAAAGCTCATCCCTTGTGTGTGTGTGTGTGTGTGCGTGCGTGTGTGTGTGTTTGTACATCTTGGAATAGCTTTGGTGACGCATACGTTCGCTCACAAGCTCCAAGCCAGCAGAAACCGCCCTCCTTCACCTCCCCATTCTGTGTTACAACATCCATCCATCTGTGCACTGATCTTTTGCATCTTTGTCCATCTTTCTTCCCCTTTTAACTTAATTATTTTTCCTGTCTTCTCTCTCTCTCTTTCTCTCTCACTGCAACATTTAGACTTGTTTTTTTATTTTCATTTTTTATTCTGTCGGGTCCAATCATCACGTTTTATATTGGCTTTAAATCCAACAAAAGCCGTAGCTGAAACTAATCCCTCTAATTTCAGCCGATTCGATTAAAAACACAGGAATTTGTCCTGGAATAGCAAAGTAATCTGCCAAGGCTTGTTAGTTTGTGATATCAGCATTAGCAACAAGCGCTTATGAGCCATGTATGGTTTATTTTTACGGGCAGTAAAATCCCACGAGGGCGTGATGACTTCACATTGTCTCTGATTAGTGGTTCTATGTGAGGATGGGGGGGAGGGAGGTGGAAAACTCAGCCAAAACTGCTTTTCCTCTGTCCCTTTGAGCCATCTGCAACCTACATTTGAAAATCAGCAATGCTCTGCTGGAAAACTTTAATTTTCACATCTCACCGTCGAGGTAGAGGCTACTCGTGTGTCATCTAAAATGCAATGTGGATTTTACAGTTACAGCTAAGCCCAAGCAGACATGAATATGTCAGCGAATCCAGAATCTGTCCCCTTGTGTCGAATTAATTTGGACGCAGTGGCAAAGAAATGCCGATCCCTGGTCCTCCATCAAGTCAGAGTCGCTGCTTGAACGTTTTTATTTCCAACGCGTAATATCGGCATCGGCATCGCACGGTCACCTTCATATCTTCTCAACAACAACAAGGTGTGATTTACTCACTTTTAGCCACTTGCGGAAACATCTTGATAAAAGAGAGAGATATCTAACCACATGTGATGACAGCTCACAGAGTCACATGTTGCCAAGTCTTCTTCTTCCCAAATAAAGTCAGATCAAGGTTTCTTCTTAAAAATAAATACAGTTTTCTAAGTCTAAGCCTTAAGTTTGACCCCCTAAGCACCAACAAACACCACACAAACTCAGAGGATTATAACTAATGAAGTTTGCTGACGTTTTGGCAACATTTGCATGTATGTGAGAGTACGTGCTGTGCGTGTGTTGTGTGTGTGACTCGTTCTGAGTCACCGCTGTCCCTCCTGGGTGCATAGCCAGGCCAAAGAAGAAGAAGGAGGACTCGTGTGTGTGTGTGTGTGTGTGTGTGTGTGTGTGTGTGTGTGTGTGTGTGTGTTGCAGAGAGAGAGTGAACATGCTGTTTTCATTTCTGTGATTTATAGATCCCAAGCATTGGTGTGTAAAAGTGTTGGCGCATTCCTCAGATCTGAACACCCTCCTGTAATGAAGAGCAGCTGACCGTTTCCATCAACAAGCCTGTCCAAGTCTTCATCGTCTCTGAGATCATTTTCTGGGTCGTTCCAACAACCATCGATGTACAGAGTCTGAAAAAGGGTCAGTGCGTCAGTCACTGATTTCTTCTGTTTTTGCTTTCTTGTCATGTTTAAATGTTTCAACAAAAAAAAATAAATTAGACAAAGATGACTTGGGTAAATATGAAAGGAAGTTATCAGGTGGTGACTTCATTTATTCATGAAACATATGCTTTCCAAACTCAGTAACAAGTAAACACACTAACCCTGATAACTGGGTGAGCAACTCTTGGCTATCAAAACTCCCATCAACACCTGACAATAACTAACAGTGAGAATTTTCACTAGGTTCTGAAATTCTCTACATGTCGACAATTTTTTTCCCTATATAAACCAAGAATCATAACTTATCAGACTTAAGTCCAGACTTTGACTAGGCCCCTTCAAAACCTTAAAAGGTTGTTCTTTCGGATCATTGTTCTGCTGCTTACCCAGATTGTGCTGTAGCTCAAAATAATGACCTGATATTCTGCTTCAGGATTTTCTGCAGGAGATCAGAGTCTGTCGTTCCACCAATTACAGCAAAGCAACCCCCAGCCATGATACAACCACCACCGTGTTGGTATGTTACACTTTTGTCTCATCGATCCACACAACACCATCCCAGAAGCCTTGATGATCCTTTGGGTTTGTTTTGGGTTCTTTCTGTCTCTCTAATATTGTGAATTATGAACACAAACCCTGAGACAAATGAGGCTGTGGAGGTTTAGACGTCGTTCTGGATCCTCATGTCTGCACGAGTCTTTACTTTTGGAGTAAATTTTGAGACCTGCTTCATGTTGACAGTCGGGTTCGTTTCAAATCATTTCTTATTTATCAAGCCTAATTGGTTAAGCTTGATTGAAATAATTTTTTCTCACAATGTGGAATCTGGATTAACTTGTTTTATCGTACGGCATCCGCTTGGATGCCCAAAACTATAATAACATCACATCCACCTGTCTATGAAATTAGTGGATATTGAATTTAAAATCTTTAAACACACTTCACTTCATACCAAAACACTTTTTTTTTTTTGCTTAAATAATTCAGAATTATCCCTAGATGTTTAATAACATGTATTAAACATTATAATGTACAACTTAGAAATGGATATGTTGTTAAAATGTTTTAAATTCTTTCAGAAAACGTCATAAAGTAGCGTGTGAAGTCACAAAGTGCAACCTGACAGGGAAACGTTCAGCTGTTTGGGGAAGAATTGTCCTTGAACATTCTTGTCTCTGACAGATCTGCGGGGTTCATACCACCAGATACACACTCATTTTCATAGAAGTTATGAGTCAGCTGTCATCCAACTTTTATCTCCTTCATCTACGGTTTCACTCTGCAGTCCAATAGGTTCTAATAATACGCAGGTTTGTCAACGGTTCATTCAAAAGACAATAAGATGAGCGATTGCTCGCAAGAATTCAACATGTTTTGGGTCTTTTTTGGTCCCAGAATTAGTGAATCTCTCAAACATATCGGAGGTTTCTGTATTTCCCATTTCAGACAACCATCAGATTTCTGTAAAGGACAGCTGTGTTTGCAGAGTGCCTGGATCTTCAGCCTTTGAGATCCAGGCACTTTTTTTTTGCACTGGCTTAAATATAAATATATTGACATAAATATGGACACATTTTCTTTAAAATGCACAGACAGCGGCTCATTTGCAATTGGGTGTAAGTCCAATTTTACAAGGTCTGTCTGTATCAGATGCACAAACTGCGGATTAGTCCCAGAGTTAATTGATGGCACAAAATATGAGACGTCCTTTCAGTCAGGGCGAGGACTTTGGTTAGTTCAGGACATTGATCTGTTCTGCGGGAAAAAAAGGGAGGCATTTCTTGCAGTGGATTTTTGAACACGAAACGCTTGAAAACATACAAAAGCAAAGAGGGGGAACTCCCATTTGCTTCTGTGATTAATACAGAAAAATAGCTGTCAACCAGTCAGAGGAATTCTAGCGTATTTCTTGTATCACGAGTTGCTGACACATTGAGGTGAAACACACAAACAACAGTTTTAATTATTATCTTTAAAAAATAATAAAAAAAAAAAGAAAAAAAAAAGAAAAGCGACGACGTGGGACTTAAAGCAGCATGCAGTTCTCAGCCAGCTGGACTGAATTGTGTGCCCAGGGTTGAATCAGGCCCCCCCTCCCCCCGCTGAGTGCTAACAGATTCGGCTGAAAGCTGGTCCACCTGAACTTCAGCGTGTGACTCAGTCCCACCAGCAGGGGAGTTGATGGCATGGACTGTTCCCCAGCAGAGCCAATTAAGCTGTCAGCATGTGTGTGATTGGAGCGGGCCGAGCCCCGTGTGTGACTCAGGATGCTGCCTGTGAACCAAATGGAAACCCGGCGTCGTTTTAGGGGTTGTTTTGTTTTATTTCAGGGGGCCCACTGTCTGCCCCGTAGGAGGAGACGGCAGGATAAAAAGAAGTAGAGAAGGTGGTTTTACTCTCACTCTGACTCTGAGCTGTACTTCTGATGTAGAGTCAAAACTTTTCCTGGCATAAGTGTAGGGAAAACACACACACACACACACACACACACCCAACAGTGGTCTATTACACATACCAGCTGTGATTGCATTTGTGGCTTTTTTGATGAGTGTTTACATCATCGGTTATTTGAAAAGTTAGTGTGTAGTGGACCATTTGTGTGTGTGAACATTTAAAGCCTTCCCAGAGCAGTCCCTTTTAAGTGTTTAAGTGTTAAAAAGCTGACCTTCAGCTGAACCGGGTCTGTCAGTTTAGTGGTTAAGCTAAATAAACACCAGCTTGGAGGTGGCACACGGGAAGGCTCTGGACTCATCCGTCCAAAACGGCGGCAGAAAGGTAAAGAGCGTCTCCGCTGGAGACTCTCGCAGAGAGAGCGTGTCTCAAACTATAAAGGGCTTGTTTCAAGCTGCTGCCGTGACTCACCGCTCCTTCTCCTGGTTTTACGGGAAGTGGAATGTGTTTTTAATTCTTCTCGTTTATTTTCCTCACCCCCACTCCTTCTTGCTTTGGCGAAGTCGAGGAGGGTCAGACAGTCGGCTGTTGTTTGTCTTTCTGTGTGAATGTTGTGGTGTGTCTGTTTTGTTTCATGTGCGTGTCTCAAGTTTACACCTGAGGGCTGGTAGCCCAAATTGCTCCACAAGGTGTCTGGGATGGTGGAAACAGTGAGTGTGTATTTCAGTTTGTTTTTGCTTTTTTTTTTTTAAACAAACATTTTCTTTTCTTTTTTTCAACCCATTTCTAATTGCAAAACTGGCATAACTGGGCCAGCTTCAAAATTTTTATGTTGTTTTTTTAGAGTAATTCATTGCCTGTAAGTAGAAAATCACCATAATTAACAGAAGTGATCTGTATTAATCCATATAATTTCACTTCGTGACAAAGTTGCTGAAATAAATGGACTTTTCAAAAATATTCTCATTTATTGAATGGGTCTGCACGGCACCTTTGGGTGTCTGGAAATGATTCCTAAAGGTGATCCAGGCTTGTGAGAATCCATTACTCTCTATCTTGACTGATTTCTTTTGAGTATCCCACGATGTCAGACACAGAAGCAGCCTGTTCCAGGTGTTGCCTTTAAATACTTCAGGTGTGTCTCAGTTTAATTTCAATGTTGTGAAACAACCTGTCAGAGCCTTAGAAGCCATAACTTTAGCATAATTGTTTTTGGTAACACTTTATTTGATGGGGTGTGCATAAGACTGACATGACACTGTCATAAACATGAAATAACATCTGTCATGAACATAAAGAAGTCTTTATGAATGTTTATGACAATTGTCATGAAATGTTGTTTGGTAAATAATGACACTTTTAATGCAAAGTTGCTCTAAAAGTTGCATTGAAAGTTCATTGAAAATGCCAACTTTCATTAAATTATCATAATTTACAAAATCATGCAAAGTTGGCATTTTTAATGGATGTTTAATGCAACTTTTAGAGCAACTTTGCATTAAAAGTGTCATTATTTACCCAATGACACTTCATGACAACTGTCATAAACATTCATAAAGACTTCATTATATTCATGACAGGTGCTATGTCATGTTTATGACAGTACCATGTCAGTTTTATTAACACACCTTCAAAAAAGTGTTACTTTGTTTATTTATTTAAAAAAAAGAAAGAAAATGAAAACCTCTTAAAAAAAACTGACAATTCTTCTCATTATTTTGACATTTAGCAACTGGCCTAAAACAGAAAATACACTTTTTGTTCATCTATTCTTAAATAATACACACAGACAAATGAGGAGGTCGTTTGACACCATATTTTTTGCCTAAACTTTTGGCCAATGATACATATATATATATATATATTTTTTTAAGATTCAAAGAAGATTTAATGTGAATCCCAAGTAACAAAATGCAAAGACAAATGGTTTTTTTTTTTTTGTACATCAATGCCTTTACTCTGTATCCAGTCTGATTTAATGTCACTCAGCATAAATCCGTTCTGAAATGTAAGAAGTGTGATGAACCCGCCGATAAAACTTTATCTCAGCAGCAAGACATCTTTCGGCTTTTGCACAGCTGTCATAAAGTAAGCGATAACACACTCCGCAACACATGAACGTGGAGACTCCGTGAGAATCCTCATCCAGAAGAGTTTTTCACACAGTCCAAACTTAAACTGGACTCTGTCGCCTCAGAGCTTACAGGAGCTCTTCTGCGTGAAGTTTACATGCTTCATCCTGGTTACACAACTTTCTCGGGCAGTCTAGAGACACACATGTTGGATAAATACGTACATTTTAAATAGCAGTGTGCGTCTGTGTTGATCCCCAGGGATGAATTAAATTTCATCCACAACATTGAAAAGGAGAAAGCAGCTGAGTGTGTAATTTTGTTTGCTGCTTCATTTGTTTGTTTGTTTTTATTTTTTGCAATGGATGTGTCTTGATTGGGTTTAATAAAAGACCATTACTTTCTGTAATATCTACTCTCTCGGTGTGTGCATGAATGAATAAAGGGTTTATTTTTATTCTATCGCGGACCCATCTGCAAACTTCAGGCTACATTTAACAAAGTCGGCCTGCAAACTATCTCGGTGACATCGTTGCAGCTTTTATTTTCTCACATTAGGAAATGTTTCAAAGCAGCAGGCCCAAAAGCTGTGCTTTTATTTTCCACCACGGCCTCCATTGTTATGGTTTCAGTTGAAAGAGTGTTGTTCCTTTTGCGACTTTACTTCATTAAGTCTTTTTTTTTTTTTCACAGATTGCTGCCCATGTTCACAAGAAAAACATGCGATTTCATGACAACGGCCTGTTTTACGGGAAGCGCGTTCACATATTGTATAACAGCTAAGCTAACCAAACCGCAAGTGAAAGAAAAAGTGAGCAGTGACTCAATATAAAAGTGAAGGTAAAAACTTGGGATGTGTTAAAGTACATACGCAGAAAAAGGCTATTTTGAACTTTGGCCTGTTGGATAATGAGTAACTAGTTAGTTGTGCAGTACAACAAATGTTTAAATAATTGACCTCCTTTGACTTGTGGGATTAAAAATCACAAGTTTCCATCGCAAAAAACCCCCCAAAAAACAAATGAACAGATCTGATTGGTATTACGGGCAGCTTTAAGCGGCATTCTCTTCAAGCAGACTATGAACAGCACCTTCAGCAGTAGCTGGAGAATAATAACAGTCATCATTAACCTGTACGCCTCCAACCCTTACTTTATAGCTGCAAATGTACAGTCTTGTTGCCCTGTGGTTGCTGTCAGTCACAAACATCACCTCCAGCCAGGACCTGCTTGCTTCCTTGGAAACTTTCGGGCCTATTTCTGTTTGTCTAGGGTTTTTCCAGCCCGGGGTGGCTATTTTGGTCAGATAAATACGGTGTTGTTTTGGGAGCAGAGGGAGGGCGGGGAGAGCGAGGTGCAGATGAGATCACCTCTCAAGGTTCCCTAAGCAGCAAAACAACAGGCAGCGAGACGAAACAGGAGCTGAGCAAACCTGGAAACGGTTAAGTGCGCGTTGAACGTTTCTGGGAGAATCTGGAGAAAAG